GATAATAAAAGTGAACATGTTTTTTCCGGCAGATTTCGGCATTTTAGGTTAATTTAGGCATTAATAAACTGTTTCAGAGAAGTGATCATAGTGATCTGCATCAGCAGCGGTGTGTCTGTCTCCCTGCCAGCTGCCAGATCAGCTTCTCTGATTGGTTGATGTGGCGCGTCGAGCAGGAAAAGTTAAATTTTTTCAAGTCCAGCAGCTGCTGCGTCAACCATTGACTTTGCATGTAAACCAGCTGCCTCTGCTGCTTTTGGTGTGAACGTAGCATAAATGTTCCTTGTAGCTCTGTTGTTGTTCTGAGGATAGTGTCAAACGCTGCTGGGCGTCTCTGATCCTCAAACCCGATAAAAAGCTTTCTCTTCTTTAACCTTTATCCACTACAGTAGCAGCCATTCAGAATTTCCCCACTTTCCATCATGGGCCCTTGGCTGAGGACATTAAAATCTAAAGAGAAGCTTAATATCCTGGTCAGACCCTGTAATCCAGTCAGAGTAAAGAAAATATGCACACCCAGGAGACTGCCAGTGGCTGGAAGTTAGAGGGAATTCTGCTGGGAATCGCAGGGCAGTGGGCTGCCACCAGATTGTTACTTTAGATAAAGAATTAGTTTTTTTCAGCAGTAGCACTGCCCCCCGAAGAGATATTTTAGTGATGCTACGATCAATAACTGAATATTTGTCTGTTAATTCATCCTCCGTACCCGTTTTTTAGTTAATAGGGGTAATTACACTGACATGAGCAATTATTGCTCCTTGTCAGATGTTTGCATGAGCAGTAGTTAATCAAGAATCTATGCTGTCTCTATGGACCCATGGGTTGAGACAATGTGCAGAAAACACACAAACAGAATAGAGAAAATGAAAAACCGATTGTAGAGAAATGACCGTCCCTAAGTCCTAAGGACGTTAAGAAAAAAAAAGCGAAAAGGAACACGAGGAAAATTGGAGCAGCTGTAAAATATCGTTAAAGAAAATATATAGATGGAGTTGTAGTCTGATGGATATTTGAACTTTTTCCTATACATAAACATTGGGTAGATTTTTATATTTTTTTTTTTCCTTCTACAGTCCGAGTTTAAAAAGATAAAGATATATAGTTCATTGTGGGATCTATGACAATGCAGCTCTACGCCCTATTAAAGGTTGTTATATGGATGCAAGTTAATGGTAAACTGTTGTTTTGTTTATTCTGTTAAGATCTCTTAGTTAGATAAAACAGTTCTTACATTCACACCAACATTTAGCAACATCAAGGCAACAGGAAGTAGGACCAAATTCACTCTGATACAATACATGAAGTAACGACAGGAATAAGCCATCTACACAGGTTGCTCCTGAGTAAATGTAATCTCAACCTTTTACAATGTCAACTGGTTGTGAATCTACGCGATGCTTCTTCAGCCAAAGGTTTCCTCAAAGCAATACTTTATTTTTCCCATTTTATTTAATATCTGTTTAACTTGAAGGTTCCAGGTTGTAAGTCTATCCTTTCCTCCAAGACGTACTCAATGATTATGCTTCCTGTGGAAAGATTCAAACAGGGAAATAAGATCATCCAGTTGCCATAGATTCAGTCATCTCAGCATTATCAGGGTTCCCGCGGGTCCTTCAAAAGTCTTAAAAGGCATTGAATTCTTCAAAATAAAACTAAGGCCTTAATTGGTATTAAAATGTCTTAAATCAGTCTTTCGTAGGTCTTATTTTTTAAAACTTCATAAATAGGATCATTTTTATTATGATTTATTTTTGTAACCTAAATAAAACATTAAAATTTACCTTTTTTTTTTTTTTTTTTTTTATTAAAAAATCCGTCCCGATAGCGGAACCAATAAAAGCGTTGTTGCGGCCGGGACATTTGGGAGATGCACAATTAACTTTTTCGCATGCGAAGCGCGAAACACAAAGCGTCAAAATGGAGTTACCAAGAAACAGCTGCTATTTCTCAGTGTTGTTCCACCCTTGTCTCTGCAACGCCTCCACTTATCACCAAATCAAACATACTAAGAAAATGATACAAAGAAAAATAACTGCAAAAAAGACTTAGCACTGGTTATGTTGTTGCTTTAAAACTGATTTGTTTTGTTCCCTGCTAAAACAAAGTTTGTGAGTTCAGTTAAATAATTGTTTTTAGCTTTCTTCCTGTATGGGAAGCTTTTCAAAATTTGAAACATTAGTGCAGTGGTTTATGTTAAAATAAACCTTTGGGTTAAGTTGTCACAAGCGGGTTTTTCTTGCGAATTTGGTCTTAAATTTTTATTTCAAGTGGCTTTAAAAAGTCTTGAATTTAACTTGCCTTATGCTGTAGGAACCGTGATTAATCACCAACTTATTTTAATTTGTCTAATGGTCTACAAATTTCTTTTCCTCTTTCAATGCTGTATTTAATTCCACAGTAATGTGATTGAACAAATAAATGGTTGAATTATCTGCGTTTAGGACAAAAGTTTAGTTTTTGAAATAAAAGGAAAATAATTAGTAAAAACAGACCATAACAATGGTCTAAGATGGCCCCACTCCACCAGACAGAGCCTTTAATACAGACTTACTAACTTTAACAAGAACAATTATCTCTAGATTCTCCATGTCGATTGTAGAGCTTTCAAAGCCAAACCAACTCAACTTCTCCAATAGAAAAGCATAATTTAGTTAAGCAAAGGCAACAACTAAATCTAACAATACAATCCTAAAAAAAATCTCCTCTATGTTCCTACATTTATCCAATCCTCAGTCGTCTGAGCTAATGTCGTTGTTCTTAAGTGCCCTGTCTTATAAGCATGAGGAAGTGGAGAATTTAAAGTATTTATTTCCATTATTTGACTCAAAAGGGGAAAATATTTATAGTTTTTTTTGTCATTTCCTCAAACCTTTTTTTTTAAATCTTTTTCTGAAGAGTCATGTTTTTTGGCAATTTTTTGACAACTGAAATAACCATACATCTACTTAGTCAGTACCTGAAGGTGTTAAGTTTTATAGAGGTCAATGCATTTTTTTTACTGCAATTATATCTGGTTTATTAAAACTGAATAGTTTAAATTTGATATTATTTACATAAATAAATCCCCATTTAACCTTCCAATCAGGAGCTGTCGTAACTGTTGCACTTTAAGCTTTTTAATGACTACTTAAAGAAGCCTTTTTAAAGTTTTTACAAAAAAAACCCTATAGAATAACCTTTTTATTTCACCCTTTATGGCTACAACACTGTTTGATGATTAGAATGACACCTCAGTAGTTCGGCATCGCCGCATCTGTAAGGCTGTAGCCTATTTTACTTGAATGTACTTCGGGTCGGAAGTTTCCACACCGTTTTATGTTGAAGTGACGTCAAATGCATCCATGTTAAATGGGTCCAATATAGTAAGGAATCCAAGCGTTATAATAAAGATGGATGTTGTGGATACTCGAAAGGACCAGCATCCCATAAGATGAAAAAAGTAAAAAAAAAAAAAACACAGGAGTGCAAGCTACCAGCACACGCAAAAGATAGCTGCAGTTCTGTGTTTGTGCCACAGGTGGCACTATCATTAGAAAACTCCGTAATGCCTCTTTAAATATTTTGCCGTATCTAACGTTTAGGTCAAAACAAAAATCACGTCCCTGGTCAGGACCTAATCTATCGCATTTTGCCGTTACTGCCTTCTATTGGTGGTGTGCAGGGATTTGAGCTTTTATATTTAATCTTATTTTTTTTTTTATTGGTTTTGAGGACCAGAGGGGAACGAACGGCAAAGTCAGGAAGTATCTGGCTAATTTTTTAACACTATACCATGGAGGAAACTCTATTTAAGTCAATGACATGGATTTGGTTTGTTTGGGCAACCTCTTTAGCTTAGCCTCGCTTTAGTTGTGCTTAGAATCTGGAATTTTGAAGTCAACATTACCGCCACCTGCTGGTGAAGTAGAAATATGCCAGCTTTTTCTTTTCTCATGCAACCTTTTTTTGTTTTTATTCCAGTGCTTATCGTCATTATTGTCCCTCTGCATTTAACCCATCCCCTTAGGGAGCAAAGGGCTGCCATTGTGCAGCGTCACAGGAGCAGTATGGGGTTAATGGTCATTGCACAGGGACCCAGAGTGGCAGTGTTAAAGCACAATACCCTAACCACTAGGCCACCACCCCCCTTTTTGTATTTTATTAATTTTTTTCACAAAACCCATGAAGAGAATGTTATTTGTTTTTTTTTTACAGAAGCTATTTAGGTTGAAGCCAAGTTCTTTTCTTTAAGTAAGAGGTCAGTAAATGTCAGATCTCACATTAAAGAGGAATGAATGCCATGGTCTGCATCGGTGCTCTGTTGATCAATGAATAACTGTTTTCCTGCAGACCTCAGTCGACGTAATTAAGTCAGAGCGGAAATGCCGTGGTCTCTGATTCAGTTTAATGTTGTGCATTCATGTTGCACTTGTTCTATTTTTGGTTGGATCATAATTAGTCAGACAGGGAGTTTTAAAAAGTACGCCCCTGAAAGTGATTGCTGCATAAGGCTGATTGCACACAGAGGCTGAGAGTCAGCTGCTAGCTGCTCTATGACCCCAGCTGGAGCAGACTGCTTGTCACATGGCCTCCCCTGTTCATGGGATCTGTCACACCCAGCGGCTGAATCAAGCTGCACCCTCACTGGACATAAACTGAATGACGGTGTGTCTGCGACAGCTTTGTCACAAGGTTGTCAGGCCACCTTCTGGTGGCTTTAGGGTAAGGAAAAAACCCAAACCTCCTGTGCCTTTTTTTTTTTTGTCTTCTTTGTAGTTTTCCAGGTTATTTCAGCCCTTCGTTAAATCTCATCGGTGTGTCGTTCCATATCAGCATCTGACTCTGTGAAGCACCTTAAGGCTCTTTTCCCACACTCTGAATCCACCTTTTCTCTAGCTCAGCTTCATGCTGATCACATGTTGACGCCAAGATCAGGATCAGACTAAATGGAGATCACAAAATGCTGTCTATACTGGCATGTTTTTGTCCTGTTTCATTAACATTTCTGTGTTTATCTACAGGAATATGAAACAAAGAGTGGCAGAGCTGGCAACCAGACATCCCCCAGGCCGGGTGTGAGGAAAAACCTGGACTTTGAGCCCCTCTCCACCACGGCGCTGATCCTGGAGGACAGACCTGCGTACGTCTCCTAATCCTTCCATTGCACTCATGTCTTCATAATCCAGATCATTACAGCTTTAAATTGGTTGTTCCCGGTCTGCTCGTCCTATTCTCTTAATCATCTAATGAGGTTGAAAATGTCTGTGTCTCGACCAGCTTGTTTCATGGTTTTCTCCTTTATGAGAGTTTAACAGTCATATTTTTTTTTATTTAGAATAGATTCAAAATCTCTCTCGTTACAAATTTAATGTTATTATATTAAAATATAATAGTTTGAAATCCCTTACAGGGGTTGACGTTAAGGATTTTTACCACTTGCCCTTTGGGCAAGTGACTTTCGCATTTCATTTGTCCAGAAACAATTTTTACTTGTCCAGTATAATGTTTGATAAATATAGTTCCTAATATAAATTTTTGTATATATATCAATGAAACATGTTTGTTTTTTAAATGTTTTTTGTAATTCAGTATTTTTTAAGTTTCCAGGTTCCTGGTGTGTATATGCATGCGTCAGATAATGAACTCAAGCCTACATTACCGTGTTAACATGCTTTTCAATCCTTCCTGCACGTTCTTTTCAAACTAAACTTTGCTTTAAACTGTTGTGTGCTTGGAAAAATATAAATTGTAATGTTAAAAATCTAAAAAAACCTGACACGTTATAAAACTTAAGATAAATCACAAGACAGAAGTCAATGTCACAAATGAATAACTTTTATTTTAGAGTCACGGTATGTTTATACAAGATAATACTATTAATATAATGTGACTTTTCTAGAGAATCATTATACATAGTTATTTTATACAGGGTTTCCACAGTTTTAGATAATTTCAGAATTCCCTGACTTTTAACTGACTCAGGATTAGTTTTCCCTGACAAAATAAATGCCGCCATTTGTCGTTTTGGTAACAACAAAATTACCGCTAGGTGGACAAAAATCACGCCATCTGGCGGAAAATCACGCAGCTTTTTCAATTCACGCGAGAATGTGTACAAAACAACAAAAATGGCGTTTTCAGCGAATGTCGGTGATTTTAAAGTAATTTTGAGTGATAATTTTTTTTGCGATCATTGCACTTTCCCGGCAGGCAAATGCAATGAAATTTGTGCTCTCCCAACAATAAAAAGTACTTGCCCCGGGAGATCAGGCGATGGTTAATATCGAGCCCTGTCTTAAATGACAGTTTGAGGATAGGATCATATATCACTGAAACTCTTTCTCTTCTCAGAGCAATAAAACAACTAAAACGCAGATAAACATGGTTTAATCATATTTTGCCGGGCTGATATTAGCATGTCCCATGATTACGTTAGACAAGCAGTTTAACAAAGAAAATGTAAAAAGCATCAACATTGTACCACAAAAGTCATTAAACATTTTTTTAAATATGTGTATTAGCATTCTTTAGAGAGATAAGGATAGAAATAAGTAATTTCAGTACCGTAATTAAATTATTTATGAACACCCGGATCTTTATGCGGGACAGATCGGGTATTGACAACCAGACTTGTCCGTCCGTTCTTGAGATTGACAGCTGTCCCAGCATGCACTGCGGCAGCAGCAGCTTCCAATGGAGCGCTTACAAAGCTGTGACTTAAAAGTTCTCTTTTCTGTTGCCGTTGTTCTATTAAAGTACATTTTAAGATCATTTGAGGTGAGAACATTATACTTTTAAGCATCAATATATGGCCAATTTATTGATTTATTTCCTAATAAAAAATAAAAAAAACTTACAATGTTGAGAGGACAGTGGCAACCAGCCAGGGCTAACCGTAGCCAGGGCTAACATTAGCCCGTCTACAGCAGCCCAGTTGGCATAGCCCTGGGAAAAGGACCGCTGTCTCTGATGGTGATTTTGTTTTTGTTATATTTGGCAAAATGTTAATTTAATTTGTGTTTATCTGTCTATGTTAACTAATATCCTCCCCACTAAATGAAAAAGTAAGAATTTATTATTATCTAGAGACTATTACTAGCAGGAGAAATGCAGCTCTAGATGAGCTGAGCGTGTGGTGATGTCACGACTGCGCTCCTGTTCCAATTGACCCATATTTATGCTGCGTGCTCCTGTTCTCCCCGAGTCCAGACTTTCCTGTGTTCTTGTCATTAACATAGTTTACGCGGACATGAGTCTGAACTCGCGTTCTCGTGAATTGACAAACGCTCATTGTTTACATTCCAACCAGTGAGCACCAAAATATGGTGACTTCACAGCACAGTGCACTACCAACGATCAGCAATGCAGTGAATAAATGGAGATCAGTGGTTATTTCAGGCAGAAAGGAATAGAATAAATGACCCATTTTGACTGCTATTTTAAATGTAAAGAACATCTTTATAAAGATTTTGAATTTATTTACTGTTAAAGTAAACTGTTAAACCTAAAATTAGGGATGCACAGAAACACACTTTTTACTTTCAATCTGATTCTGACACTTTGCCAATTTGGATATCAGCAGATCACAAGGATTTTTTGATTGCACAGCTCTGTTTGCTCTAATATTAACTTCACTTTTGATGATTTGATTTAAGGTAGTGTTATAAAATCCTCTCTACAGCTTATTATGAAAGTGAAAGCTTAGTTGTAAACCAAATGGGGACACCAACATAAACCAAAACATTTTTTTTTCTTATATTCTCCTTCGTAATCTTCCTTCTTCAATCAGAAATAGGTTGTTTTGCTTAGAAATAGATCAAGAAAATTTGAGGCTGGGTGATTTAGCCCAAAAATGTATATAAATTGGACTTGTTTTTTTTTTTTTGCAATGCAATATTCACCAAATTAACATTTTTTTTTTTCGTTTCATAAAAATAAATTACAAATGACAGAAAAAACATTTTAAAACTTGCTTTTTTCAGCCATCCGTTCTGGGTGTGAATTTAAAGTGCAGCTAAATACAATCTGTAAACGATGGTCTAACACAATTAGTGAGCTTATTGTTGTCATAGAGATGGTTAACAGAAGTCACTCTGAACTATTGAGGCCAAAGCAGTGCTTAGGTTGGGGGAAAAAAATCAGGTTTTCCCAAAACCAAATCTTCATAAACAACATAATAATTATTACATGAAAATAAGATGATGGATCTGCACTAGTTTGAATGCAGGCCAGGCCATTTCTACAGGAGGTGTACTTCTTTTCTCTGAATACTCCATCCTCCTCTCTGAGGCTAAAGACATTGGCCAATGAGAGCAGGAGACGGGCATCAGCCTCCCCTGACCCAGGCGAGGAAAATCAGCTCCAGACTGGCTGGATGTTACATAAAATGGAAATTTTTCTGGATTAAGAAAGATTATTGAGGCTAAATTTTAGCTGCATATGATTCCCCTGGATTCTATGCACCGTGTCGAATTTCAGCGCCATGGGCCTGTTTCTCTGATAAAAGATGCAGGTAGAGCTCAGACAACCCACACAGCTGCTAACCTTCCCACTAACTCAGGGGTTGGAGCCACATGAGGCTCTTTAGCGCCCCCCATGGATCTTTAAAAAAAAAAAATTTAAACTAGATTTCTTTGTTTGTTTTAATATGGTACGGTGCCAGGCAAACAAAGCGGGGAGGGTGTGTCTCGAACCATGGATCCCAAAGGGAAAAAAGGAAGATAGCTGATGAGAACGGAGGATTCAAAGAGAAATGGAGCGAAACATTTGCTTTTGTTACCAATGCGGAAGGATTGCCTGCATTTTTGCTTTTAATGAGAAGTTGTCAAAAAATAAAGACTCATTTTGAAAGCAGGGTTTCTGAAAGTCATTAAAAATCATTAAACGTTACTTTATATATTTATATATAAGGTATTTAGATATTTATTTTTTAAATTAAGGCCTTAATTTGCATTAAAATGAATTATATGTCAGATTCGTCAGATATATTGCAAATTTCAACAAAAGTGGCTGGAAAATGAGAAATTCAGGACATTACTGCAGCCCGTCGACGGTAAAGTATATATATATATATATATATATATATATATATATATATATATATATATATATATATACGATTTAGGAACCATATATATGGCAACCATAGTTGATGGCATTAAAATGATTCTTAGAGCATTAAAAGAGCATTAAAAGGTATTAAATTAGAGTTACTCATTCTTGTATGAACCCTGGGAAGGTATGCTAAATATATGCAGCCGACCACCAAGTTGGGAGTGAGAGGAAAAAATGGAATTGCAGAACTTGTGGATAAATTGGGGGAAAGCAAAGCATCTCCAAACTCCATTACTGCTGCTAATTTTGTTGCAAGCATGAAAAACCGTCCACAGATCAAACAGGCAGTGATTTTAAAATAAAAATAAACACCATAAAAATAAGACCAAGGAACGATGGTGATGGAGGATGTAGAATTTCATGGTTAGAGAGCTCTGCTCTGTTGGTTGTCAGTTCCTGCTTGGTTCCTCAACTCCTCCCAACAGAAACACGTCCACCATAGAAAGATTCCTTTATTGTGTTTCTATAATTTCATCAGTGCAACAAAACCTAAACTGTGCGGTGAAGCAGCACGCATTGAACTCCACGCGGTAAGAGCATTCACTGCTCGTCCATCACCTCATGCGATTATGAAACATTTGCTCCAGTATAAACATTTAATCATTAATGCTTATTATAATTTAAGCCCACGTAGTCCTTTTTTACAGTGGGATAATACACTTAGAGTCTGTGTTGCCATACAAGGCTTATAGAAGACTTTTACATTTTTTGCAGCTCCTGACAGATTTGTTTTGATTTTCTTGGTCCAAAATGGCTCTTTGAACAGTTTGTGTTGCCGATCCCTGCACTAAATCCTGTTTGTTTTGCAGTAATCTGCCCGCCAAGCCTGCAGAGGAGGCCCAGAAACACAGGCAGCAGTATGAGGAGATGGTGGCCCAGGCCAAGAAGAGAGGTCAGCTGATGAGACTCTGTGGCTTCACACTGAATCACTTCTTTTGTTGAGTGTTTGTGCATCCCTGTGTTGTTGTATCGTAAAACATGTGTTTCATGCAGAGCTGAAGGAAGCTCAGAAGAGGAAGAAGCAGCTGGAGGATCGATGTAAGCTGGAAGAGAGCATCGGCACGGCAGCCCAGATCTGGAACCAAGAGATCTTACCCAACTGGAGTACAATGTGTGTGTCAGCAGAGCTCATTTAAGTAACATTTACGAGGACATATGTTTTGGGTTTTATCTGCTTTACTAATGAATTTAGACTCCTCACAGTTAGGCCTAGTTAAAGGAGCAATAATCCTTAATTCATTATTTTTGATAGAACAAACAGTGATTTGATAAACTAAAGGTATCTTCAGTTTTCTCCTGAAGCCGGTCATTTGCCAACATGACGTTTTCTTGCTTACTCACTTCTTCACTAGACGTGTTTCTCTGAAAGTTAATGCTGCTTTGCTGTGGGGTTTTCCTTTACAAATATATGGCAATGGGTGAGAAAGTGAGGGGAAAAGGGGGAGATTAGTGCGGGTTTGCAGCTGGCGTAAAGGTAGAGAACGCCACACATCTTGTTTATGGTCTACAGTCGGCGCTCTACAGCCCACCAGGCGGTAAAATTATGCTTATAGTTCCATTAGTCTTAGATACTAGAGTCTCTAAGACCAAAAGTTTCTCTCTACTCAACTTTCCCCTTATAATTTTTTGTGCTACGTTCAGACTACATTTTAACGCGAGCAGCAGAGGCAGGTGAAGCAGCTGGTTTACATGCAAAGCCTTCAGGTTGACGCGCAGCAAAAGCTCCTGCAGAGCGTTTCGAGCAGCTGAAGCAACACCTCAAGAGCTTCTAAGCATCTGAAGCGTGGGTCGTGCTGCACAAGCAGCAGATGCTGGAATTGAAAAAATTAAACTATTGCTGCTGGATGCGTCACATCAACCAATCAGAGAAGATGATCTGAGGCTGGCAGGGAGACAGACACAGCACTGCTGATGCAGAGCGCTATGATCACTCCTCTGAAACAGTTTATTAACGCCTACATTCACTTAAAATGTCCAAACCTGCCAGCAAGATATGTTTGCTTTTATTATTCTGGTTCCTGCAGTTTGGATTACGTACATGAAAAATGTTTTCATCCACCAGGAACAGTAGAGGAGATTCCCCAAGAGGCGATCGGGCCAGAGGCAGCTATTAAAGGGGTTTTCCAGTGACAGAGCACCGCCGGTGTACGGAGGGTCTGAGCGTCTCCGAGAGCGAAATAATATTTGAAGCAGGGTTCCCGCGGTTCCTTAAAAAGTCTTAAAAGGCATTGAATTCTTCAAAATAAAACTAAGGCCTTAATTGGTATGTCTTAAAGCTACAGTGTGTAACTTTTAGCGACATCTAGCGGTCAGACTGCAGACTGCAGCAACATGAAACCAGGTCAGACTGCAGACTGCAGCAACATAAAACCAGGGAACATACATGAGGCACAGTGTATTTTGTGCAACAAGTCATTCAAGCTCAGAACGATGGGAATTAAGGCAGTGGAGTCGCATGCGAAGCGCGAAACACAAAGCATCAAAATGGAGTTACAGAGAAACAGCCGGTATTTCTCAGTTTAGTTCCACCCTTGTCTCTGCAACGCCTCCACTTATCACCAAATCAAACATACTAAGAAAACCATACAAAGAAAAATAACTGCAAAAAAGACTTAGCACTGGTTATGTTGTGGCTTTAAAACTGATTTGTTTTGTTCCCTGCTAAAAGTTTGTGAATTCAGTTAAATAATTGTTCAAATATATCTGTCATTTGTGTGTTTTTAGCTTACTTCCTGTATGGGAAGTTTTTCAAAATTGGTTTATGTTAAAATAAACCTTTGGGTTAAGTTGTCGCAAGCAGGTTTTTCTTGTGAATTCAGTCTTAAATTTTTATTTCAGGTGGCATTAAAAAGTCTTAAAAAGTCTTGAATTTAACTTGCTTTATGCTGTAGGAACCCTGTGAAGGCAGGATCATAATCTTAATGAACTGACTGCACAGACGATTATTTCAGGTGTACTTTCTTACTTAAAAACGTATTAAAACCACTTTTTAACCCACTGATCACAGCAAATATAGTAAATCCACTCTCTGGCATTGAACACAGAAGCAGCAGAATCGTCAGACGCTTCTGGACACGCTTTACTGGACGTGTCTGACCTTAATGTGTACCTCCATCAAACATGAAGCAGCAGAAGTTTTTTTACTGCTTCCAGCATTTGCAGTCTGAACTTAGCATAAGCCTACTGAGTGTAGCATGACAGATCTGTGACTGAGGATTTGAAAAATGATGGGAGTTGGTTTCAATTCCGAACCCAAAAGCTGCAGTGTACTTAAGATTTAAACCGAATGTTGATCTCACTGTTACCATTTCTGGGATGGTTACGGACTGACTCTGGGGGATTGCTTTAAAATTAAATGGATCAATCAAAATCAACCAAGAAATCAACCTTCATTCATTTACTGACTCTAAAAACATTAACTGTTAATCAGTGAAGCCTTAAATGGCTCCTAGTCAAACTGGTCCCACTAGTAATACTTGATCCTCACAATTTCTTCTAGTTTCTATTGGAGATTTAGTAGCTACAGTCTCATTAGAAACTGTTCTGATCCACCTCTAAAAATGTTGATGATGCAGTTTTTTAAAAGGTTAAAAAAGCAGCAGCCAGGTGGGTCGTGACGATTAACTAGAGGCTTCAGAAAGAAGCTATAAACCAGTCTTTTTCTTGTTTTTCCTGTCTGCAGGTGTACATCCCGGCGAGTGAGGGACCTGTGGTGGCAGGGCATCCCCCCCAGCGTCAGGGGCAAAGTATGGAGCCTGGCAGTGGGCAACGAGCTCAACATCACACACGGTACAAACCTGTTCTTCTCTGTTGGAGCGGAAGCTGCTTTGTCTCTAGGGCGGCCATTTCTATAGCACCAAAAAGGAGGACATTGTGCGAAATATCAATAAATTACTAAGGTGTACATAAGCATCGGGTAAAGTCACATTTATAGTACAATTCTTAGTAGCTGAATAGAACAAAATATTAAAGAAACGTAAAAAAAAAAAAGAAGAATTGGTTCCCAGCATTTGTATTTATTTAATACATTGTGGTGTTTAAAAAGTGACCAGCCAGATGAATCTTTAAAGTGCAGAATAGCACAAAGCATAAGATGTGTCGACTTGAACCTTAAAAAAATCTTTTTAACAAGAAACATTCATAATAATATAGCCTAATATTTTATAAACAACAAAAGAAATTGTAGAAAACACATTTAACTGCTCTACAACTATAGCTTTATTTTTAAGAGCCTCAGTCTTTTGGGAACTTAAGTGTCTGTGTGCAGCAAACCTGTCTTTATGGTCATCCCTTTAGCTACGGGCCAATCACTGAAATCCCCTTTCACCTCACAGTCTACACTTGCGTAGGACTAGTGATGTTTATAGTATAGTCCACCTTGCAGCTCTGCACAAGTAATTTTAGCATCCAGGGGCGACAAAACTAAATGTAAAAGCCAACATTGAAGAGTTTGCTGCTGCTCGTTTATTACTTTTATGTCGATCCGTACTCGCACGCCGTTCAATTGCAGCTTTTCCTCGACTGCTTACGCCCACATTGCATCGACAAAGTGGCAGAAACCATGGAATGAATCTCCACTACCTTCGGTCATAAATTCATTTTGTCCATTCTGGGTTAAACGACATCCTGGATTTGACAGGACGCTAACTTTAATACTTAGCATCAGTGATTCTGATCCTTGTTTACTTTTGTAACCAATGACAAGCAGATCTTTATCTGACACTCTGCCACTCTTAGCCAATCATCTGTTAGATCAGATAGTGATGCATTTTTGATGATTGGATATTGTGCTGCAGCCCAGCAAAAAAAATAAATAAATTAATAAAAAAATAAAAATCTGCTCTACAAGCCTAATGCCTAATAAAGGAGGACAAATACACGCCCGGCTGGATGCGGCGCCGGACTCCAGACAGTGCAATGAAAATCCGGACTGTCCGCCCTAACCCCAGGCTCTCACCGACTCCGGTCTTACCGTTGCGGTGCGGTGGGTGCGGCGCCGCAGTGATTCCAAGTCATTAAAAAGACGTAAACCTCTCTCACCGGCTGCTGAGCTGTCCGGCTGCGGTTACCGAGGCACTCCGGCGCTGCAGAAAATTCCGCAAGAAAGCTATCCTTGCGGCGTACCGGAGCCCTCCGCAACAAGCTCTCGCAAATATCGCGGCACAAACAGGAAGTTTTCCAATGAGAATAAAAGACTTCCTGTTTTTTTCAAAATAAAACACGTTCGTTTGCATGTATTGTCTGTCTTACTCATAGTAGAAAGTCAAAAAGTCGCCAAAAAATGCGGAGAAGTGTGCTGACACGCGTGAAAAATCCAAATGCGATATTTCTTTACTGGACACTTCCTTGTTTGGGTCGTGTTATCGCGTGAAGTTACGTGAACTCCAGTTCTCGCGAGTCAATCTCCGGACCTGTTGCCGGAGCCGCAGAGCCGCACCGTAGTCAAAAGGGCGGTGTGAGAGGGGGTGTGCGGGAGTTGCGGTCTCCGTCGGCTCGGTAACCGCACCGGAGTCAGTGTGAGCAAGGGGTAAAGCCGGACATCTGGCCACCCTATTGGCAGTGTTGGGAAAGTTCTCTTTCTACGTGAACTAGTTCAAAGTTCAGTTCACACATTTTAAAATGAACTAGTTCAGTTCATAGTTCATAATTCAAAATTTTGAACTAAGTTCACAGTTCCAAAAAATGAACTAGTTCATAGTTCTTTTTTTTTCATATATTGCTCAATTACATCACAGCCTACTGTAGAACCACAGACAGCAATTATTTTATCAGTTGTAACACTGAAACTGTGCGTCAGATTTCATCTTCATATCCAGTTTTGAATCCTTATCCAACCAGGGTTTACATTAGCATTGAGGGGACAGCATTTGTTGCTGTCCATTCACTTCACACTAGTAGCAGCTGCAGCTTTCACCCCTACAGTATATTCTCAAAAACATCAGGAACATGTGCTGCTTGAATGGTCTTTTTATGAGGAATTATTAAAAGAAAGCCGGCTGGCAAAGTTTGCAGAGAAATGTCAGATTGTTGCCATCATCCTCACCGACCACCTGGTCATAAACCTGTTTTAAGTGATCATACTGCTGCTTTGTCGCCTCCACGGTCGCCTCCATGCTGCTGAGGCTTCCACGCTGCATTTTGTTTTGATGACGCACGCGGCTGTAGGCTACGACACTGGTAGCTGGTGTTGCCAGATTGGGTGTTTTTCCCGCTACATATTAAGGCCTGTTTACGGTGTGATTTAGGTGTCGCCTGGAGGACTCTATAGAAATCTGGCAACCTACTGAACGGAGTTGAACTGAGAGAGCGTGCCGTTCACAGACACCAGAATGAACGAGTTCACAATAATGTTCATCAGGCAGTAATACAGTACGTTCAGTTCACGATCGCCCAAAATATGAACGAGTTCATGAACTTTCGTTCATTGAACGCGTTCAGGCACAACACTGCCTATTGGTCTCTGATTTCAGTTCACACTTTTCACCAAAAATATTCAAATCAGTGCGTTTTTAATTTGAGAAGCTCAATAAGATGATCTACCCATGAAGAGAGTATTTTTGCCTTTCAAATGACCTAATTGGATCTGATGGACCTAAAAGAAGATGTTGGTTTTCTTTTGTTTATTTCAAACATAAATCATCTTATTCTGTTTAAAACTTTTCTCACCAAAATCATAAGAAAATATTTTTCTTGCACGAAAAATAGAGTTGTATTTCAGTTATGAACTCAGCAGCTTTTATTCTCTTGTTAAATGAGTGAATCTGGGCCTTCAGTTCTTCCATTAGGTTAACGTTTTTAGGTTAAAATCAAAAGTCACCAGAAGAGTTTCCCACTTTCCACACTATGACTGTGAACATTAGCAAAATCAAAGATAATCATCGTCATCAACTTTCATTGTAGAGCACTTTAAAACAGCTACAGCTGAAAACAAAGCGCTGAACGGAATAATAAAACACAATAACAGCATAAATGCATAAACAAGACAAATAATGTTTAAGCTTAAAGCCACAGCTAACTAAGATGAGAAGAAAGCTCAGAAAGTTTAAGTTGAATGTAAAACCTACATTATCACAAAGTTTAATCATTACTGATTGAAGGTCACCATCAAATGGCTGCATTTTGCTGTGATTTCCTTTCAGTGGACAAATGCTGACGTTTGCTGGTCGTTTTTAGCTTTTATTTCTGCAGGAACATAAATCTTCTGATGTTTTAAGAATTAAATTCAACATCTCAGTGAATTCATTACCTGCTTATGACCACTAGAAGGCAGCAAGAGGTCGCAGTGGGATCAGCAGCTTGTGACATGGAGGTGATGGTTTCAATGTAGCTGTGTTGCCTTCATCCCTCCATGCTCAGTCTGTCTCTCATCTTCTTTTATATCCAGCGTTTTCTTCTGCTCTTCCTGCAGATCTCTATAACATCTGTCTGGCCCGGGCCAAAGAGAAGTGGGGGAGGACAGCAGCTCCCAGCACTGAACCTGAAGGTAGAGACCAAACACAACCTATAAATGGCAAAGTTTTTTACTTCCATCTTGCATGAAGGAATTTTTTTTTTTCTTCCTCAAGATGTTATTGATTCTTCTGACCGTGAGTCCAGTCTGGAGTTGATCAAGCTGGACATCTCCAGAACATTTCCCCAACTGTGCATCTTCCAGCAGGTCAGTAGTGGAACCAGGTTCTCTGAACACACAGCTTACTCATTCCCTCCTGCAGTCCAGCTGGACCTGATTTAGAATAATGGAAGCTGCTGATGAGGTGGAGGAACATGAATGCATTCTTTTAGGCTCTGTTGTTGTTGTTCTGCAGGGCGGGCCCTATTATGACATGCTGCACAGCATTCTGGGAGCGTACACGTGTTACCGACCCGACGTTGGCTATGTAAGTCCCTCCTAACACTTCCTGTATTTCACCCTGATCCTGGTGGCTTTCTGTCTATAGAGATGTAGAGAGAGAAGTAGAGAAGTCTCGCTGTCAAGATGAAACACATCTCAGATGTTCAGAAAATAATAAACCTGGACAGTTGTGGAATATGATGGAGTAGAGGAACCTGATCTTAGTTCATTTCAATTCAGTTTATTTACATAGCGCCAATTCACAGGTCATCTCAAGGCACTTTGCAGAGACAGTTCAACTAGATCATTCAGTCAGATTGATTCAAAGATTTCAAAGGAAAGCCAACCGCTTGCGTCGACTCGTTGACTCAAAGGCAATCCCTCACATCAACCATGCTAGTAGCGACAGTGGAGAGGAAAAACTTTTAACAGATACAAACGGCAACTGTCAACCAGCTCTACGGGCGGCTCCGTCCAGAAAACACATGGAGGATGAAGAGAGCCCATCCAGTTATAAATACATTACATACTGAAAAACAGGCTAAGCTCCAACATCTATGAACATAGGTTTATGTCAGCAGCACAGCTGATATTTCTCTCCAGGATGGAGTCACAGCAAAACAGGAACAGACCAGATGAAGCTACTTTGAGAAAAAGCAGAGAGCGCAGAACGTTAGAGATTGAACTAACAGATTCTGCAGAGGGGGAGAATAGAGATAGAATGAAGCAGAATGATAAAAAAAAAAAGGGTCCCTATGTCTTCCAGCAGTCTAAGCCTATAGCATCATAACTATAGAAATATTAGGACCAAATAATAAGATCTTCATGATTATTATTTATTCAAATTCATGTAAAAAAGAAAAAAATATATATTTGTACGATAACTACCTCTGGAAAATGGATTGTTAAATTGTAGATAGTAAACATAATAAATTATAATTCAGTTCAGTTTATTTATGTATAGTGCCAATTCACAACACTTGTCATCTTAAGGCTCATTAAAGAGTCAATTCTATCAGATCCTCCAGTCAGGTGAGTTAAAGGTTTAGATATTTAGGACGTCCTGGTAGAGGCGCAGGACTAGATATTTGATAGCAATGTGTCGTTGACTCTTCAGCAATCCCTGATACTGAGCATGCATGTAGCGACAGTGGAGGAGAAAAAAAATAATTTAACAGGAAGAAACCTCCAGCAGAATCATGCTCAGTGAGAGCCGTCTTCTGTAGAAGACATTTAAGGAAATGGAAGCAGACAAAGTCAAAATGGAAGCACTGATCTATAAATACCAGTGGTGTCAAAGGTACACACTTTTGTTACTTAAGTAGAAGTAACGATACTGCAGTTTAAAAACACTCTGGTAAAAGTTGAAGTATGAACTTGACCTCTTTACTCAAGTAAAAGTGAAAAAGTATGTTCTCCAAAAACTACTTAAAGTATAAAAGTACAAAGTAACGTTTAGAAAAAACAGCCAGATGCCGCTATATGAGCTCAATTTTTCGACTATTTATAAACATTCTTAGAGATAGGGCCAAGGATGAGGGAGGTCTTGTTGGTCTCCGTCTCCCGATACGCTCTCGCCTGTGTCCGACCTTTCAGACGTTTCAACATCTTTTTCTGAATCCTACATTGTAGCATGGCATAGACAATTCACGTTTACAGTTTGAAGAACACCTGCTTGCTTCTGATGATTTCCTTTAGCTAACCAGTGAGTGATGCGTTAAATGACTCATCCAATCACACTAGTTTTCACTAGAAGTGGATGGAGCCAATGATCTGCATTGGATGGAGCACATGACGGGAAATAAATATTTAGAAACATTAAACCTGGGCCGTGCAGGTGGCGCAGTGGTTAGTGCCCACGACCCATGTATGGAGGCCTTAGTCCTAGACGCGGCCGACCAGGATTTGAATCCGACCTGAGTTCTTTTGCCGCATGTCTCTCGCCCTCTCTCATATCCCCTTTGCTGTCAACCTACTGTTGAAAAAACGTGCCACTAGTGCCGTAAAAACTCAAGAAAAAAAAAATGTAAAAATTAAACCGGAGCCAAGAGTAAAGAGTAACTTTTGTTTTAAAAATGTAAGGAATAGAAAATACAGATACTTGTGTGAAAATATAATGAGAAGAAGTCAGAAGTAGGAAGAAAAATAAGTAATGGGGTAAAGTATAGATACCTAAAAAGTGTACTTAAGTACAATAACAAAGTATTTGTACTTCGTTACATGACACCTCTGATAAATGCTTTCTATGTTAGTAAAGGTAATGGTAAACTGGCTCCATAGGCGGCTCTGTCTGGGAAAGAAATGGATAAACCCATAAGCTGTGAGCCAAAAGCGATGAAAGAGGGCAAATTCAGGTAATCCCAGTGAAAGCTCAGCCTATAGCAATGTCTAGGAGAGAAACAGGACTAAACACTGCTAGAGGGGTCTAGAAAAGTGGAGGGAAAATGTAAAAAATATATATATTTGTAATTGTAATAAGATATAGTTATTTTTTTGTGTGTTGAACAAATAATAATATTTAAATTTGGAAAAAGTTGAAGCAATATTTTCCATAATTTGCTTATTTAGGATTTTCTTATAGCTTGCAAAGGTTTAGAGTAATAAATTGGTCAATTAAATGTATAAAATCTCTCAAATGTGATTAAAACTCTATTGATCCCAAATCATAAATAATTCACATCAGTTGTTATTAATATGCAAGCAGATCAATATTTATAAACTTTTAGGAATGTTGATAAAAATTGCAATTTATTTTATTTTTTTATCACAATCAATTTTTGATGCTTTAAAAAGAAACCAGTTTTTGCATTTGTTTTATTTCTGATCTCATTTACAGACACACATGGTTTAAACAGAAGTAATGAATAATATTACTGATGACTTTAAATGGCCGTCTGCTTGTGTTTGTGGTTCTTTTTTTCAACATTTCAATAAACCATGATGTTGGCATCAGTGGTGCTTTTGTTCACAATGTTAAAACATTTGGTGCTGAACACAGCAGGAAAGGTAAATATAACCCTGCATCAGAACACCCAGGCTTTCTATTATTAAGCTGCTTGAATGCGGTCGGAGTGAAATCATCTTCTCACGCCCTGAGTGGGAGGTTAGGAGAAGCTGCGTGGGTCCGTTTGTAAAAAGGTGAAGAGTCAATATCTTATAAAGCTGCAGATGGAGACGAAAAAGTTTGAACTAAATCCTCTTATTCCGGCTTATTCTGCTGGTTTTCAAACATTGATTTCCAAAAAATATATATAATTTTAGTAAAGGATTGATTTTTCTTTTAGTGGAAAACAAAAAAGTTAAATCATTGAATCATTTTCACTTTTGATTTTCTGTCTTTTATTCAAGCCAGAGATCTCATGATTAAATAAATGGTCTAAATTAATGATCTAAAAGCTATCAAAGCTCTCACACTGGGATAAAAAAAAAATCAAAATCTAATTCTTAAAATAAGTGCATTTGCTCTTGAATTGAGAAGGTAAAAGAGACATCTTGCCAATGGAACAAGACAATTTCCATTGAAAATAAGAAAAGTGCATTTTATCTTAATATATCTTATTTTAAGAGTAAAAATACTGATTCCATTGGCAGATCATTTTATAGCTACCCAAATTAGGGGTAAATACACTTAATTTAAGACATTTTTAATTATTTCTAGATCATTTTCCAGTGCAGACTTCCTGATTTAAGGAGAGCTGGACTGAAAGTGCAGTGAGGGAAAAGTTTTTGTCGTCGGCCTCTGATCGCCGAGCGTTCTTTGAATCGCTGTGCAGCCTGGAGACGCGTCGTTTCCTCTGCGCTTTATTACCACAGCCACACACCGCTGTTCATACACTTTTAGAGAAATGAGTGTGACTTCCTGCGCTGACCCCAACCCAGCTCTGCACACACATCTAACCTCCTGCAGGTTGTTGTTTACTCTGATTACAGCAGCCCCTCGGTTTAATACAACCTGCTGCTTTGTTTTCTCCATCAGGTTCAGGGGATGTCCTTCATCGCCGCCGTGCTGATCCTCAATCTGGACACGGCCGACGCTTTCATAGCTTTCGCCAACCTGCTCAACAAGCCCTGTCAGATGGCCTTCTTCCGAGTCGACCACAGCCTTGTTAGTAAAAACACACCGTCTGATAATCACTAGCTGGATCTCTGTAGAAGCACAGTAATGGTGACCCTTCCCACTAAGCCCTCCTCTCTCTTTCTCTCCTCTTTGCAGATGTTGACGTACTTTGCAGCGTTTGAAGTGTTCTTTGAAGAAAACCTACCAAAGCTCTTTGCACATTTCAAGAAAAACAACTTGACCCCTGATATTTATTTAATCGACTGGTGAGTCGGACACTCCTGCACAGGAATGCAGCTTTTCTCTTTACTCACAGCATTTAATCTGGACAGAACTGATGGTTTTTATGAAAAAAAAAAAACAGCCATGTAGATGCTGAGTGAACTTTACGCTGCTGAAGGGGGAGCTTCATGCTGCCTGTAGGTGACATGGTGTTTCTCAGAAAACAGGATGGAATCGGTTTGGTCTGTTCACTCTCACCTATTACTCAATGGCTCCTCCCCTCTGAAGTCATCCTACCTAACCCCCCTTTATAGGGCAAGGTACCCTTTGATCGCTTACATACCCCTTACAAATGGAGCCTCCACCACCTCTGATCTAAATCCAGCCATTCAGTAAAAATGCTGCTACATCAACCAATTAGATGAGCCCTTGAATGACATATTACCCACTGGAAATTAAGTTAAAAAAAATGTAACAAGTCAAGAAAAAGGGTAAAAAGCTAATTGAAGTCAGTTAATAAGCCTAGTTAACGTTATATTTAGGTTTATAAACTAAAAAATGTAAATGCCAGTATCAGCATTATTCCTCTAAGATTATGTTGTACCAAAAATCAATGTGTTTTCTTTTTTGTTTTGTTTTTTAATAATACTTTATTGTCTTTTAGAAACAGGACAAACAACAACAATTCAGCACAGCCAAGTCTAATCCAAATCTGAAATGTCCAGCAAAACACCTGTACAAAATTTCAAATACACATCAGGATCAAAACCTATAATCCGTATGATAAGTCGAGGGAAAAAAAGATAAACAAAAACAATCAAACATAATGGTTAAAAACAAACTGTGCTCCCCTTTGTGTAATAGATCTGCAAGCTCACTAAGCAGATGATCAAGCAAAGGCTGCCATACTCTATAGAAATCATTACAATTACCCTTTATGATGGCACTGAGGCGCTCCAGCGGAAACACCTTGAACGTTTCTCTGTACCACTGTTACAGAAGGGGGCCGTCCCTGAATCCACTGAACGCATCGTCTTGCCAAATGTAAAAGTTTATGGAGTAAAGTCATTTGTGCTGAAGATAGAGAAAGCCCTTCTACAGAAAGACCGAGAATAAACAGCACAGGGTTCAGTGGGACTGCCTGGTGAAAGATCGAGCGAAGCTCTATAGAAACGTTATTCCAGAATCTAGCAATTATTGGGCATTTCCACATACAGTGATAGTAAGTCCCTACATCTGTATTGCACTTTATGCAAAGAGGGGAAATTTGAGGATGAATTTTATGTAAAAACTCTGTATGCTGCATTCTATATACCGTAGAATTCTGTAACAAGTAAACATTTTCTTAGCAAACCTAAAAGCTTTTGACCATGCTTCTGAGCTAAGCTCAAACTCCAAGTCTGTTTGCCACCGAACCCTGGCCTTATCAGTTGTAACAAAATTCAACGACAGTAATTTCCCATAACTGAGAGAAATGAATTTCTTTTTAGTGAGTACATCTTCATTAAATTTATGAAGAAAGCTTTCAATAGAGATAAAAACAGGTTGGTTGACTGGGAATTTAAGAGAATTTACAAAATGTCTCACTTGCAAAAACCCAAAAAAGTGTTTTTGTGGTATATTATACTTAGTTTGAATCAGAGATGGCAAAAGTACTCACTTTCCGTACTTGAGTAAAAGTACAGATACTTGTGTTAAAAAATACTCTGGTAAAAGTGGAAGTACTGATGAAACTTCTTTACTCAAGTAAAAGTAACAAAGTACAGGCTTGTAAATTTACTTAAAGTATAAAAGTAAAAGTAGAAACCACTTTTTTCATGCCGTTGCCTACATTTTAAATGGATGTCTTCCAATAGGACTAGATCTCCGTTGTGTTCGTTTTCAATCATCTCGTCGTCCATGCTACTATGCTAACGCCACCGCCACCAAGCTGCAGTTATTTGTCGCGAATGAATACCGCCGAATCTGTCGATTCATCTTGTAGTGGTGCGTCAAATGCAACGTAGATTCCCATCCAATTAGATTGAATTTGGTATTGATGACGTGAAAAATAATAACGGTAACTCCATTGAAATGATTCCAAACTAAAGTAACGAGCCACTTTTTTAAAATGTAAGGAGTAGAAAGTACAGATATTTGTTTAAAAATGTAAGGAGTAGAAGTAAAAAGTCGCCATAAAAATAAGTAGTAAAGTAAAAATATCAGAAAAATCTACTTGAGTACAGTAACGAAGTATTTGTACTTCGTTACTTCCCATCTCTGGTTTGAATTTGTTTAAAGGACATAAAACTACCCTTTTCAAATAAATTACAAACAAGTCTTATTTTTTTTAGAATGCCAATCATCAAATACACTAATGCCAATACCTGGAGGGAAAGCTTGGTTCCTAATTAGAGGTTGCAATGCACTAGAAAAACCTCTTCTTCCAATGTGGGCAGCAATATTATGCCAAACCTTAAGTGTACACATCAAAATTGAGTTATTTCTGACACCCAGTGGAAGTTCGGCTAACTCAATAGATAACAGACCAAGAAGAGAAAGAGGGTCACAGCACCAAGTATCTACAGGTGGCTCACCTAGATGTAAAAAAGAATGTAACCATCCTGAGATTATCCGTACATGGCAAGCCCAGTAATAATAAAGAAGGTTAGGAAGAGCCTGACCACCTTCATCTAAAGGTCATTGTAAAATCCCTAATTTTAGCCTAGACTTCTTTCCGTGCCATATAAATTTAGAGAAACATCCCTAAATCTCTGAAAATGTTTGTTGGTGATTCTAAGAGGAAGCATTTGCATAGGATATAATATTCTAGGAAGAACATTCATTTTAATCAAACTTATTCTACCCATCCAAGATAATGGAAGGTCAAACCACTGATTAAGATATGTAAAACCTGTGATCGACCACCTGAAAGGAAAATTATCAGGAGTGTCCCATCTCCCCTGGTCACCAAGTGGCAAAGCTTCTGATTTATCATAATTTATTTTGTACCCTGAAATAAGGCCAAACTGATTAATAGTGGATATTAATGCAGGAATAGATGTTTCTAGCTTAGTGACAAACAATAACATGTCATCTGCATAAAGCGAGATTCTGTATTCAGTATCTCCCAAGGTTACTCCAGAGATGCTGCTTCGCTTCTTCTTCTTGTTTACTACTGGTGGTTGGCTTTGGTCGCAGTACCGCCACCTTCTGCTCTGGAGTGTAAACGCTTCGCCTATGAGAAAAAGGAGCAGCGCATGAACCGAACGCAACACACGCGAACTGAACCGAGACAGTCGAACCGAACGGTTCGGACGGTTTTCATAAACCGTTCCATCCCTAAAAGGGACTTACATGTTCTACCTGTTGGCCATGCAAAAGGTTTTTGAAATGCAAGCAAATAACAGTTTTTAGACCGAGGGCAGGAAGTAAACAGTCAACAGAGGGAATCGTTGCAGAGTCGGTATTGTGGAGATTTAAATCACTTTTCAAGACAAAGATGGAAAAAACACCTTAAAGATCTGAATGATCTCAGATCATCATTTCTTTGGTTATTTTATCCTTATTTTAAAAATAAAAACAAGCTAAAGCTGCAGTTTACAGGTTCTTTCTCCTCTCTCATCTCCCCCCCAGGATCTTCACGCTGTACAGTAAGTCTCTGCCTTTGGACCTGGCGTGCCGCGTTTGGGACGTGTTCTGCAGGGACGGCGAGGAGTTCCTGTTCCGCACGGCGCTGGGCGTGCTGCGCCTCTACCAGGACGTCCTGACCTCCATGGACTTCATCCACATGGCTCAGTTCCTGACCCGCCTGCCGGACCTCATCCCTCCCGAGCAGCTCTTCCAGCACATCGCCGCCGTCCACATGACCAGCCGCAACAGGAAGTGGTCACAGGTGGACTTATTGTTCTATCTTCCTTCCACTTCATTACTAATAAAGCTTTGATTGATGGAGCGTAGTCCAGGAGTTTGAGTTTTGAACCTCTCCCCCTGCCGTCCTCTCAGGTCCTGCAGACGCTGACGGAGCAGAAGAAGTCGGGGGCGAGGCTTTCCGGGGCCGAGGCATTGAGCTGAGGTCAGAGGGGGCGTCCCACACTAAGATCCTGTTCTGGTGGGGGGGAAGGGGGGGTCCTGCTGTAGCTGCTGTGATGGAGCTCCTCTCTGCAGAGCCGCATCGCCAATCAGACCCTAAACCAGCGTCCACCAGCAGGGTTTGTCTGCGCTGATGCACAGGTGTGAGGAAGGAACACGAGGCCTTAATTTGACTCTCACCCCCTCCCCCCATACCCCTCTCTACCCCGAAGCCCAGCAATGAACTGGAAACTGTAGCTGGGGGAAAAAAAAAAAGGTGAAGAATGTAACACTCCCACATGGCTGACTCAGATCCCAGGGGTGGAGGAAAACCGCCCCTCCGCCAGCATCCTGAGCGCTGTTCCGCTCGTCTCGTTCTTCCTCCGGTTGCTACGACGATGAGAATCATAAATCTCCTTTTTTTTTCCAGTCAGGGAACATTTTCTGTTCTTGATGATCTTGATGACGTGTTATTGTCACTTTCTGATTTCTGATTTTGTGCTTTAAAATCAAACCATATAAATCATATTTCTGAGTTCAAACTTTTCTTCTCTTTTAGTCGTAGTTTGCACATTTTTTCATTCCTTTATGCTCCCCTGAAAGGGATTCCTCACGGCTCCTTGTTCGTCAGGTTTGTTTTCCGAGTCATTCCGGTACAATCGGACGTTTCTTTGACTTAAAATCCACCAAGCTGCGAAGCGATCCCTGACCCGCACCGTGTCTCTACACGTTAGCAACAAACCTATCTGTGTTGCAGGTCATATAAGCTGCCTGGAAAATCATTTTTCATTTCTATGTCAATGAAAGTGGGTTAACTTAAAAAGACCAAATGTGGTAACGTTGGTCTGAACACTGCAGATGTTGATCTATTTTCATGCTTTTAACTCGTTTGTGGTACATTTCAGCTTTGTGGTGTCTGGTGTGAGAGTAAGTTTGTTTTATTTGTGCGATTTATTTAATATTTATCAAATACGGGGGACGCGTTCGTCTGAAATGAAGGCTAAAGAGGGAGAGATGGGTGCAAACATCAGGCTGCACATCGCACACGTTTAATTCACTGAATACATGCAGAAAATATTTTTTCTTTTTCACCAAAAAAGATGCATCAGATCAGGACTTTCAAGGAGAAGCTGATGATGATGGATGAACAGCTTTAATGTTGGATCATTAGCAGCAAACAGCTGCATGATGATGATCATGATGATGATGGCGCCTGTTTTCACACAGAAGCGCCACAGAAAGAGATGTTACTGCTGGAGGTTGAACCACACAGGATTTAATGAGACGTGAATTTGCAAAACTTCCAGCAGATCATTTTTTTCCTTCCATTAGCACTTTTTTTCCCCCTATGTTGGTTTCTGAATAGTATCCATGGAGATTTGTCTGTTTTAAACACAAACAAGGCAATTATTCCTGCTACTGGTGAAAACATCAAACTATTTATGTCTACGTCTGATTTTAAAAAGCCGTCTGCCGATGGATCTGGATCTGGCGTCGACTCTTGCGGGCTTCACAGTGGATTCACACTGTGGTCAAAGTGTGACCCCATCAGGGCCAGGAGTGGGTGGCGCCGTTCTCACGCTGCTCCATTTTAGCATTTTGATACGCAAACAATAAAGCACATGAAACAATCATCCACTTATTTCTTTTTTTTATATAGTTTTTATCTGAAGGTAATCAGGTTGAAAGCGTGGCGTGTGATTGGCTGTTTGGATCTGGAGGTCAGAGATGCTCCTGACTGTCGTTTTCTGTTTTGTTTTTGCGTCGCTGCTGATTCGATGAACTTTAGTTTTCTCTGTGAGTAAATTCATATTCTGAGATGTCTGAAGACCAGAACTGGTTCTGACTCGTTGGATTCATCTCAACTCATCTCATCTTTTCTGCTTTCACACCCCCCCCCCCCTCCCCTTCTATTCACCTCCTCCACTGTGGTTTTAAAAAGCCACAGCACTGCTCTAGAGCTTTTTGCACAGACATGTAAGCCTTTGCATTGAGTCGTGCCTCGCATCATCACTCTGTGATCAGTCATGGTTTAAACGGGTTTCCGTCTTTTATTTTCCTTTGTTTTTTTGTTTTTTTTAATCTACCTTAATTAAAGTTACTGTGTCGATCTTTTCTCTGTATCGTTTGCTCCGGGTAAGAAGGTAAAGATTTTGGTTACGAAGAAGTTACATAAAGCCTGGTATTATCTGTCAACACTACCTGTTTATTCCTTAATTCAGCACTTGGACACAATAAAAGTTTGATAATCAGGTTTTATTTTACATTTTTATGTTTAAATTCCTTTCCTTTTTCTTTTCTTTTTTTTTTTTAGACCCGTGTACTGTAGAGGACTGATACATATGTGCAGATAGCAGAAGGTCATCATGCAACTGTATCTCACTTGAAATGTATATAAATGATGGTTTTATCGTAATAAAAAGCTGTACATACCCTGCTGCCTCAAGATGATTTTCTGCTGAATTAGTTCAATGTTTTCTCCAGCTAATGGTAGAAAGTGAAACTTTGGTTCATTACCCATAGAGAGAAAGATTACTTTCTGCTGTTTCTTGTAATTGTGATGATTAAGGTTTACAGGTAATGAAAACCAACAATACAGAAAATCAGAATATAAGGTCAGTAATAGAAAAAACAAAAAGTCAGGCTTCTGAACTGTTTGGGTTGAAAAAGTAAATATAAAAAGAAAACTTCAATAAATAAAAAAATTATATTTGTAATTTTGCAACTCATACATATGTGACATCAGATGTTTCATCTGTTAGAATAGAAGTTTAGAAATTTTGCATATAAGTTACAACTTTGGAACGATATGAATCAGAGATTAACTAGTATGAAACCTGACAAAGCTCATTACTGCCACCAGTTGGTGGCAGTAATGAGCCTGAAGTTGTTTGGCAACAGCTTCAAACAAGAAAGGAGAGAAGACACTAGGGATGCACGATATAATCTGCCCCCTATCGGTATCGGCCTTAAAACGGAATATCGGACATCGGCCACCCCACCGATATTTAACCCGATATTTGATCAGCTTCTGAGTTTCTAAAGTCTAAAAAAAAAACAAAAAAAAAACTACTACTTCCTCAAAAACTTCTTATTTACAGACTTAAAAACTTCTTATTTACAGGCTTAAAAATTTCTAAAGACGAGGGAAAAAATATTGATACATTAAAATATCCCAATATCTTCATATGCTGATATATTGCCATTTAAAAACACCATATCAATCTCTTTTACTAATGAAATATTGCTATATGTCATCGTTATGCTACGAAATCCCCCGAAAATTCACGAAATTTTGCCATATTTTTATATGTTGATATATTGACGCGTTATCGATCTATTTTACTAACAAAATCTCACAAGAATTTGCAAAATATCACGAGAGTTTGTAACAGAACGATGAAATTTCACGAGATTTTGAAAGTAAAATAGATCGATACCGCGTTTTTAAAAATCAATTTGATATCAGCATATGAAAATATATTTGAGTTTATTATTTTTCAAAGTGTCAGAAATGGATAACAAAACTGCTATTTTCAATGACTACTTATTTTTGTCCAGCTTTAACATCGGTATCGATATCGGTTATCGGCTACATGAGTTTTAAAATATCGGATATCGGCCAAAATCCCAATATCGTGCATCCCTAGAAGACACAAAGCTAATAAATTTGATGTTGTGCTGCAGAGACTTTGGAAATCTGTAAATCTGTTCCCTTTCTTAACTCTATTGTGTCTATTCTGTGTCCGTTGCGTACGTTTTTTTCCCCCAAAGCCACTTCTGAAAAACTGATTAAGAATCTAAAAATGTTAAAGAATCAAGTAAATTCTTTAAAGGAAAAGTGCGGTTATATTCAGAATTAAAACTTCTGAAAGTACTTTGAATATGAAATTATTACATACTGTTCAATAGATGATAATGGTTTTAATTAAGAGTAATTTCAAGAACACTACTGCCACCTACTGGTTTGTGACGTCACGGTGCGGTATCGGCTGTTGATCAAGTCCCAGTGCTGTATCTGGTGTTTGTCACAACGCGCTATTATCCAAGTCATCTTGAAAACATTCTTCTTCCAAATGTTGGCCACATATTACGTGTTTTTTCCTCTGGCCAGAAGTTTGATGGAAAATCCTCCCTCTTCAAGTTGGCGATCCAACGACCAACCCGTCCGTGGAGGATCAGGAATCAGAAAGGTGAAATAACAAATTTTCTTTCCACTTTCACCCGATGTATTCCAGCATCCAGCTGCCATGCACGTGGGCATTGTCAGTTTCACTATAGCTCTGGTGAATTTCAATGGTGAAGTCCTCTGGAAATCTTCCATAATTGTTGTTGATTGCAGATGTGTCTAGTAGTTCCCATTGATTTAGCTTGTAAAGCGGGGAGAATGGCGCTAGGCTTACCGCACCGTGATGTCACTGCTGGAAGATGTCAGGTTGCTATATTTGGCAAAAATGGCCGCTCCCAGACTTGGTGATCGCAACAAAAATAGTTTTTATTTTGTTACTGATTAAAGCTAAATGCATTATTAAACGTAATAGTTTTAGGTATAGATAAGGATCCATTGATTATTCTTGCTGACCAGAATTTTCCTTTAAAGCAGACCCAGAGTCAGTCTGTAACAATAACTTTTAAACCATCCCAGACATTTTTGAGATGAAACATAGACATCATTAGTGCCTGTTTTGCCATTTGTCATTTTTTGAAAGCAAATAGAATATTTTTGTTTTATCAGGAGGGAAACTACATGCTCTTACATAATTGTTCATAAATATCAACATCGTTTGTAAGAAAAATGTCGGTATCCTGGTGTGCTGTGAAGTTCAAGGCTGATAGATGTGCCTCCAAAGATGCTATTTATTTGTCCATCAGGGCGACAGTGGCGTTGGATGTAGGAGTTTGCCCTGAAATCGAATGATTGACGGTTCAAGCCCCGGCTCTGACTTCCAGTGTCGTTGTGTCCTTGGGCAAGACACTTCACCGGCATTGTCTACTGATGGTGGTCAGAGGGCCCGCTAGCACAAGTGTACGGCAGCCCCGCTTCTGTCAGTGAGCCCCAAGGCAGCTGTGGCTACAATGTAGCTTGCCACCATCAGTGTGTGAGTGCGTGCATGAATGGGTGAATGACTGAATATAGTGTAAAGCGCTTTGGTCAAGTCTCCTGACTTGACCAAAGCGCTAAAATAACAGGCCATTTACCATTTTATGACTGATGCTACTTTCATTTTTCGTCATTGCATCGTTTATATATTTCTTAACTGGCTCATAATTTATTC